GGCCAAGGGCGTGTACCTCTGTTGAAGTTTGTCCTCTGCCCTGGTTGTGGTTGGGCGGGAGGCAACCAGTTCATGAGTCTCTCTCATGTTGATATTTCTTTCTCTCTCTCTCTCTCCCTCCCTCCCACTCTATCTGAAGATAAGTGGAAAAATATCCTTGGGTAAGAATTAAAAAAATAAATTTTTATTGTTGAAAGTATTACAAATGTCCCTCCTTTTTTCCCCATTGACACCCTCCTTCCTGCTCTCTCCCCCTCCACCTTTACCACATTGTTGTCTGTGACCATTGGTTGTGCATATATGCATATAAATTCTTTGGTTTATCTCTTCTCTCCCCAACCTCACCACTGTCCCTCTTTCCTCTGAGGTTTGTCAGTCTGTTTCCTACTTCCATGTGTCTGGATCTACTTTTTTCGACAGCTTATTGTATTCATTATATTCCACAAATAAGTGAGATCATGTGATACTTGTCTTTCTCTGATTGGCTTATTTTGCTTAGCATAATACTCTCCAGGTCCCTCCATGCTGTCTCAAAGGGTTGGAGGATCTTTCTTACAGCTGCATTGTATTCCATTGTGTAAATGTACCACAGCTTTTTTATCCACTCATCTACTGACAGACACTTGGGCTGTTTCCAGATCTTAGCTATTGTAAATAGTGCTGCTATGAACATAGGGGTGCATATATTCTTTCTGATTGGTGTTTCAGGCTTCTTAGGATATAGTCCTAGTAGTGGGATCACTGGGTCAAATGGCAGTTCCATTTTTAATTTTTTGAGGAAAAACCATACTGTTTCCTATAGTGGATGCACCAGTTCCATCCTCCAACTTTTATTCTGAAACATTTTAAAAGTAAGAAAAAGTTGAAAGTTAAAAAAAAAAAAAAAAAAGCAACAAGTTTCCCATTATTCCCCTTTCTCTCTTTGAGTATCTTCATAAACTCACAGGTTATTTTTATTTTTTTATTTAATGTGTGAGCCCATTATAGTTATTTTTGATGTTTATGTTGTCCCAAATTTGATGAGTAAGAATCCCCTCAGGCTGGCTCCTGTGTCCTTTTAACGTGACCCCAATTGTCTTTCAGCAGTTCTTTGCATTCTGGCTTGTACTACATGGCTGAGCTCAAAAGAAAAAAAGCGGATTTTGCCCTGGCCAGTTTTGCTCAGTGGATAGAGTATCAACCGTTGTCCAGAGAGACCTGGGTTTGGTTCCCGCTAAGGGCACGTACCTCGGTTGCAGTTTGTCCCTAGCCCCTGTTGGGGTTGTGTGGGTGTCAGTTAGTTGATGTGTTTCTCTCACATCTACGTTTCTCTCTCTTCCTCCCCTGAGCCCTCTCGTTCTATCTGAAGATGAAAGCAAAAGTGTTCTTGGGTGAGGATAAAAAAAAAGCCGATTCCCATATGCCAGAATAAAGAGAGATCTGAAAGCCAAAGCAAAATGTAACCGTAGGCTGACACTGAAATAGTTCTGGAGGCTGCGAGGAACCTGAAAATAGACCACTAATAGCTAGGAACTTAGAATTGAACTCTAACCTATCAACAGTGATGAGTCCCTGGACTTGGGTGTAATAGGAAGTAGAACTGGTATCTGTTCTTTTACGAGTTCCTTTTTTTTTTCTTTTTAGATTCCACATATGAGATCATCCAGTGTTTGTCTTACTTATTTCACTTAGCATAATGCCCTCAAGGTCCACCCATCTCACAAATGACAAAATTTCCTTTTTTTAAAATGACTGAATAATTTTCCATTTTGTATATGTGTGTGTATACAGTAGATCACATTTTCTTCATCCATTTATCCATGGATGGATGCTTAGGTTGTTTCCATATCTTGGCTATTGTAAACAATCCTGTAGTGAACATGGTGGGCATACATCTTTCGCAATTAGTGTTTCATTACCTTCGCATAAATACCTAGAAGTGGAATCAATGGGTCATAAGAAAGTTATTTTTACCTTTTTTGAGGAGCCTCCAGTTTTCCACAGTGGCTGAACCAATTCATATTCCCACCAATCGTGCAAAAGGGTTCCCTTTTTTCCATATCCTCTCCAACACTTGTCATCTTTTTTTTTTTTTATCCTCACCGGAGGACATTTTTCCACTTTTTGTTCAGGTAGAGTGGGAGGGAGAGAGGAACAAAGAGAGAGAAACATCGATGTGAAAGGAACACATCGAGTGGCTGCCACCCACACAACCAACCAGGGCTGGGGACAAACTGCAACCGAGGTACATGCCCCTAGCGGGAACCGAACCCGGGTCTCTCAGGACCGCAGGCCGACGCTCTAACCGCTGAGCCAAACCGGCCAGGGCTTTTTTTTTTTTTTTTTTTATCCTCACCCGAGGACATTTTTCCATTTTTTGTTCAGGTAGAGTGGGAGAGAGAGAGAGGAAGAGAGAGAGAGAAACATCGATGTGAAGGGACACATCGAGTGGCTGCCACCCGCACAACCGACCAGGGCCGGGGACAAACTGCAACCGAGGTACGTGCCCTTAGCGGGAACCGAACCCGGGTCTCTCAGGACCGCAGGCCGGCACTCTAACCGCTGAGCCAAACCGGCCAGGGCCCGGCCAGGGCTTTTTTATCTTTTTTATAACATACATACTAATAGGTGAGAGGTGACATCTAATTGTGGTTTTGATTTGTATTTACCTGATAATTACTGATGTTGAGCATCTTTGCATGTCTGTTGGCTATTTATGTCTTCTTTGAAAAAATGTCTATTCAGATCCTCTGCCCATTTTTAAAGATTTTTTTTTTGCCATTGAGTTGCATGAATTCTTTATATATTTAGGTTATTAACTCCTCAGATATAAAAATCTGAGGATGCTTAAGTCACCTATATAAAACGGCATAGATCAATGCAGTCAGCCCTCCACATCCACAAATTCCTGACCATGAATCAAAACCTCTACAGGTATTTACTGAAAAGAATCATGTATAAGTGGACCTGTGCAGTTTGAATCCATGCTGTTCAAGTGTCAATTGTATAATGACTTGGAATACAATCAAAATTGCTTTATGTGTAATCAGGAAAAGGATGGGCTATTAGATAAGGGATGCCGAGGCCAATTGTTTTGCTATAAAAAATGATATAGATTCCTCCCTCACATCATCAACAAAAATAAATTCTAGATGGCATAAAGGCTGGAATATAAAAAGCAACACTTCAATGTTTAGAGGAAAATGTATTAGAACATCTTTATGACTTTGGAGTAGAAAAGAATTTCTTAAAGATTTAAAAAAATGGACACACTAAATAAACTCCCATACCACAGGCTTATCATAAACAAAGTTGAAGAAGAGTCACATATTGGAAGAAGATATTTGCATCACAGATAACCAACACAGGATTAGTGTCCAGAGTACATATATATTTAATTTTTATACAGGTATAATTTCCATAAACATAAAAGATATACATGGGAGGTGAAAAGTTATGTACCAAATCTTTTGACATGTATGTTTCACAGACTACTAATTGATATGCTCAAAAGGATTAGGAAACGTTAAAGAGAGTCTGATTTAATGTTAAGCGTGGTATATCTAATAATTTTGATTATGTTTTGATCTCCTAAAGTTATTTTTAAGTATGAAATTTTATATCCAGTATGGATATACCAATATGTTTTGTCAACAAATCACTGACAATCCTGTAAAATTAAAAACCCTATGTCATCACTGAATGGGAGAACTGATCAGTGAGTAGGAGAAAACACACTGTTTATTCAGAAAAACAGAACAGTAAAAATACTCAAAAGAGAAACACAGGTAATATTAAATACAATTTTATAGTTCCTGCCATTAGATGGTAGAATGCTAAGCTGTTTTGTAATACTACCAATCTCTTCAGGGATGGGACATGTAGAAGAAAAGCCATTTAAGTTTACTGATTAAAATGAAGAGGATGCAGTCATATATTACATTTTCACAATAAAATCTAGCTGTAGTCTAAGTACAGCTAATTCTACTAAGGCTATATTATATAGTTTGACTAAGGGTCACCATTTCTTTAAAAAATTAGAATTTTATTCTACAGTGATCCTAGATGACTCTGATATTTTATCATCTATCTTCAGAGGAATGATTAAAAGATGTCTTTATAGGAACACAGTTCCTATAAAAATAAAGCTGTATTATTTGTTAGCTACAGATACCATTTCACTGCTTTAGGAAACAAAGGCCACATTCTGTGGAGAGTTGGCACACACTGACTTAAAAACAACAACACTTTTATTGATTTTAGAGAGAAAGGAAGAGAAAGAGAGGGAGGAAAAGGGGAACAGAGAGAGAGAGAGAGAGAGAGAGAGAGAGAGAGAGAGAGAGATCAATTTGTTGTTCCACTCATATATGCATTCATTGGTTGATTCTTGTGTGTGCCCTGACCAGAGATTGAATCTGCAACCTCTGGCGTATAGTGATGATGCTCTAACCAACTGAGCTATCCAGCTAAGGCCACAAACTGATATTTTGACTAATTTAATGTGTTTGAGACTAAATATTAATTTAATCTAATAACTTTATTCTAACAGTTTCATTTCACATGGGAAGAAAACTCATCAACTCGTCAAAACACTGCATTCTCAAAGTTATGGTAAGACCAAAATACTCAAAGAGAAGTAAAAATGATGTTTCCCTAAGCATTTATTTCACTTTTTCAAGTTTGATTTTCAATGAAAATGAAATCTCTTCTTATCATATGTTCTTTAGAAATACTTAACTATGGTCTGCAGTTTTCAACAATGTCCTTTAAACATGAAATTTAATTATAAAACTATACTTAAAAAATGTTTTCCCCTTTATTGAATTTAAAGAGAGAGGAAGGGAGTGGAGGAGAGAGATTGAAACATCGATGAGAGAGAACATTGACTGGCCACCTTCTGCATGTCCCACACTGGGGATTTGGCCCATAACCTGAGCATGTGCCCTGACTGGGAATCAAACTGGCAACCTCTTGGTATATGGGTTGATGCTCAACCACTGAGCCACACCAGCCGGGCTATAAAACTATACTTTAATTCACTAATTTTCAATATGCCAGTTTAGAGAAAAATATCTGCAGTTCCAGGAATTTTTTTTGCAGTTATATATTTAAAAATTTTTAATTATAAAAACTTGATTTTATCCTAGAAAATTCAGTGCTTCTGAGTTGGAGCATCACAATATGGCACATTTTCTATAAGAAGGTCTTTCCTAGGGACCAATTCTGAAGGAAAAACAAAAAGAGAATAATTAACATTATTAAAATTAAAATTAAATGCAAATATACTCACTCCCCTTAAAATTAACAATAAAATGTGGAATTTTAAGGCAACTCTTCCAGGGATATTTTATTTCAATTAACTCCTATGGTGGAATCCTTTAGATGGAGAGAGTAGGATTCTCATTTCAGATCATTATAAAAACATATATGACCAATTCAACCCTTTATCATTTATTTATTAAATATAACTAATTAACTGAACAGAATTTAACTAAAGCACACCAGCCATGTGATTACAGATTACTGATAATTAAAACCATCAATTGGAAAAGGTTTTTATACTACTTACCATATAAAAAGCAAGACTGCTTTCTTAATTTAAAGGTTTCAAATTTTACAGGACAGTTCTCAACTGGGGGTGTTTTGGGTGGTCACACCAACTGAAGAATGCTACTAGAATTTAGTGGGTAGGAGCCAGGGATGCATGGGACAGTCTGGTACAGTGAAGACCTATCATGGTCAAAATTTCATTAGTGCCCCACTGAGAAACAAAGTTAAATAATAACAACAACATTAAATGTTGATTCCTAGGTAAGACCATGGTAGAGTCAATTGAGGTAAAGCTCGTTATATATTCTGAGGAGATAAATGATTTCTCTGTTTTTAACTCCAGAAAAGCTGAAGTCAGGTGAACTGTCAAGTTAAAAAAAATGTTCATACCACATTCTATGAAATAACTTGCCTATACTCTTCAAAACATCATGGTCATGGAAGATGAAACAACTGAAAACTGCTGCAGATTAAGGAAGACTAGGACTTCCGGTCAAGATGGCGGCGTAGGTAAACGCGGTATCGCGTCCTCCCACAACCACATCAAAGTTACAACTAAACTACAGAACAACCATCATTCAAAACCGCCTGAAATCAAGCTGAATGGAAGTCGTACAACTATGGAACTAAGAAAAAAAAACAGCTACATCCAGACCGGTAGGACAGGTGGCGGCGCGAGGTGGGGCGGCGGAGCGGTGAGACGGGCTGGTCCCACACCCAAGCGTGGTGGATAAAAATCAGGAGGCTCCCGCGGCTGGGAAGGTCCTTCCTGAGGACTGAGGGGTCCCCGTCCCACACCAGGTGCCCCGTTCAGGGTTCCAGTTCCAGGAAGAGAAGTCCCCATAACTTCTGGCTGGAAAAACCAGCGGAAACTGAGGCTCAGGGAAGCTGAAGCGGCTGGAGCCGCAGGCAGCTCCCTAAAGGGCCCGCGCACGGACTTATCGGACTCTCTCCCTCTGAGCTCGGAGGGGAGGCAGCTCGAGGGGCACCAGAGACACACAGGGAAGAACTGAGCTGTTTGGCACTGGAGCGAGCACTGGAGAGGGGGCTTCCTCGGAACAAACGTGCTGTCAGAGGCCTTTGTTCCTTTGGTGAGCCCTTCCGGGGGGGGGGGGACGCGGGCAGACAGAAGCCATATCTGGGACTCCAGCAACCTGGCTCACACTGGTAGCCCCGCCCTGCTGACTCCCTGAGGCCCCGCCCCGCCCCACACAACTTTCAAGCCCACCCAAGCTGTTGCCACTTGCTTAACCATAGGATTGTTCTGTCTTGGATCCTGCTTCAGGTTTTTCCTAAATTCTTTCAAACGAGCAGCACCGGGTCTCAGCGAGCCCCATACCTCTCATTAAGTAATACACAGAAACAAACACAGGGAGGCAGCCAAAATGAGCATACAAAGAAACAGGTCCCAAATGAAAGAACAGAACAAAACCCCAATAAAAGAACTAAGCGAAAGGAAGATAAGCAACCTAACAGATACTGAGTTCAAAATACTGCTTATAAGGATGCTCAATGAACTTAGTGAGAACCTCAGTGAACTTAGGGAGGGCCTCAAGAGCATAAAAAAGGACCAGTTAGAAATCATGGATACACAGTTAGAATTAAAGGAGGCATTAACTGAAATAAAGAATAATTTACACAGCTTCAATAATAGAGTATGTAAATCCAAGGAGCAAACCATCGATTTGGAATATAAGGAAGCAAAAAACGCCCAATCAGAACAGCAAAAAGAAAAAAGAATCCAAAAAAATGAGGATAGTGTAAGGAGCCTCTGGGACAACTTCAAGCGTGCCAACATTCGCATATTGGGGGTGCCCGAAGGAGAAGAGAGAGAACAAGAAATCGAAAACCTGTTTGAAACAATAATGGCAGAAAACTTTCCTAACTTGGTGAAGGAAACAGACATACAAATCCAGGAAGCACAGAGAGTCCCAAACAAGATGAACCCCAAGAGGCACACACCAAGACACATCATCATCAAAATGCAAAAGTTTCAAGACAAAGAGAGAATATTAAAAGCAGCAAGAGAAAGGCAGCTAGTTACCTACAAGGGAGTACCCATTAGGCTGTCAGCTGATTTCTCAAAAGAAACTTTGCAGGCCAGAAGGGAGTGGCAAGAAATATTCAGAGTGATGAAAACCAAGAACCTACAACCAAAATTACTCTATCCTGCAAAGCTGTCATTTAGAATTGATGGACATATAAAAACTTTCCCAGATAATAAAGTTAAAGGAGTTCATCACTACCAAACCGTTATTATATGAAATGATGAAGGGTCTTTTTGAAGAAAAAGATAAAATGTATGAACAAACAAAATGGCAATGAACACATATCTATCAACAATGGAATCTACAAACAAAATGAACAGGTAGAACAGAAACATTCTCATAGATACAGAGAACATTTTGTTGGTTGCCAGTTGGGAAGGGGGTTGGGGGAATGGGTGAAAAAGGTGAAGGGATTAATAAGCACAAATTCATTGCTAGACTGACAAACCTCAAAGGGAAAGGGGTTGGGGTGGGGGTGGGAAGAAATAAACCAAAGAACTTATATGCATAACCAATGGACACAGACAATAGTGTGGGAAAAGGTGGGAGGGGGGCGGGAGTGGGGAGGAGGGGGTCAATGGGGGAAAAATGTGGAACATCTGTAATACATTTTACATCCAACAATAAAGATTCGGAAAAAAAAAAAAGAAAGACTAAAAAGACAGACTAAATTCCATTTGTGTGATCCTCAGTTGGATAGAACAGAGGGAAATTCTCTTCACTGTTATAAAATACAGGTAGGACAAATGAATAACAAAACTGTACCAAAATTAATATCCTATTTTGACAATTATACTGTGGTTACATAAGAAAATGTCCTTGTAATTAGGAAATACACAGTGCAGTATTTTTAAGCAATATATCCTAAAGTATTTCTCCAGATCTAAACCCAAATGTGCTGCCATGATATTTAAAAATGCTCATTTGGGGGAAAAGAAGCATTAGCCTCAAGAAAACTTAGGGGGGGAAATGAGGAAGGATGATAAAAACAAATGTCGTAAAATGTTAATCTTTGTGGAATCTTGACAAAGGAAATCTCCATATTCTTCAACTTTTCTTGCATCTTTTCTGTAAAATTGAATCATTTCAAAAAGTTTTTTAAATTTATTTATTTATCTATTTATTTATTTATTTGTTACAGATGTTTCTCCTTTTTTACCCCATTGGCACCCCCTTCCCCACCCCACCCGCGCCCCGTCCCCGGCTTTGTTGTCCATGTCTATTGGTCATGCATACATGCATATAAGTTCTGTGGTTTATCTCTTCCCACCCCCCACCCCCTCTTCTGAGGGATGTTAGTCTGTGCCCTACTTCCATGTTTCTGGGTCTACTGTATTCCTCAGACTGTTATGTTTATTATATTCCATATATAAGTGAGATCATGTGGTATTTGTCTTTTTCTGCTTGGCTTATTTCACTTAGGATAATACTTTTCAGGTCCCTCCATGTCGTCTCAAAGGATAAGAGATCTTTCTTTCTTATAGCTGCATAGTACTCCATTGTGTATATGTACCACTGCTTTTTTATCCATTCGTCTACTGATGGACACGTGGGCTGTTTCCAGATCTTAGCTATTGTAAATAGTGCTGCTATGAACATGGGGGTACATATAATCTTCCTGATTGGTGTTTCAGGCTAAAAATTTTTGTTGTTGAAAGCATTACAGATGTCCCCGTTTTTTCCCCACTGATCCCCTCCTTCCTGCTCCCACCCCACTCCTGCTTCCCCAGCCTAGTGTCCGTTTCAATTGGTTGTGCATATATGCATTTAAGTTCTTTGGTTTATCTCTTCCCTCTCCTCTACCCCCAATCCCTCTGAGGTTTGTCAATCTGTTCCCTACTTTCATGATTCTGGATCTCTTTTGGTCAACAGCTATTTAGTTCATTCTGTTTCACAAATAAGTGAGATCATGTGGTACTTGCCTTTCTCTGACTGGCTTATGTCGCTTTTCCAGGTCCCTCCATGTTGTCTCAAAGGTAACAGATCTTTCTTGCAGCTGCATAATATTCCATTGTGTACATGTACCACAGCTTTTTTATCGACTCATCTACTGATGGGCATTTGGGATGTTTTCAGATGTTAGCTATTGTAAACAGTGCTGCTATGAACGTAGGGGTGCATATATTCTTCCTGATTGGTGTTTCAGGTTTTTAGGATATATTCCTAGAAGCGGGATCACTGGATCAAAATGGCACTTGCATTTTAAATTTTTTGAGGAAACACCACATTGTTTTCCATAGTGGCTGTATCAGTCTCCATTCCCCCCATCAGTGTGCTAGAGTACCCTTCTCTCCACAACCTCTCCAGCACTTGTTGTTTGAGGATTTGCTGATGGCAGCCATTCTGGCAGGTGTGAGGTGATATCTCATAGTTGTTTTAATCTGCATCTCTCTGATGATTAGAGACGATGAGCATTTTTTCATATGTCTCCTGGCCATTTGTATATCCCGTTTGGAGAAGTATCTATTCAGATCCTTTGCCCATTTTTTTTTTATCCTCATCCAAGGACATTTTTGTTCAGATAGAGTGGGAAGGAGAGAGAGCAACAGAGAGAGAAAGAAACATTGACGTGATAGGGACACATCGAGTGGCTGCCTCCGGTACAACCCCAACTAGGGCCAGGGATGAATCACAACCGAGGTATGTGCCCTTGACCGGAATTGAATCTGTGACTCATTGGTCCACAGGCTGATGCTCTAAATGCAGAGTCAAACTGGCCAGGGCCTTTGCCCATTTTTTGATTGGATTGTTTGTCTTCCTTTTGTTGAGCTGTATAAGAACGCTATAAATTTTGGATATTAACCCCTTACTGGATGTATCATTGGTCAATTATGTTCTCCCAGAGAGTGGGTTCCCTTTTCATAATGATGCCAGTTTCTTTTGCCATTCAGAAGCTTTTTGGTTTGATGTAGTCCCATTTATTAACTTTTTCCTTTGCTTCTCTTGCCCTAGGTGATGTATCAGTGAAAATTCCACTACATTATGTCTGGGGTTTTTCTACCTATATTTTCTGCTAGGATTTTTATGGTTTCACGGGTTACATTTAAGCCTTTTATCCACTTTGAGTTTATTCTTGTGTATGGTGTAAGTTGGTGGTCTAGTTTCATTTTTTGCACATAGCTGTCCAATTTTCCCAGCACCATTTATTGAAGAGACTGTCTTTTCTCTACAGTATGCTCTTCCCTCCTTTGTCAAATATTAATTGTGCATACTGTCTTGGGTCAATTTCTGGGTTCTCTATTCTGTTCCACTGATCTATATGCCTGTTCTTGTGCCAGTACCAGGTTGTTTTGATTATGATGGCTTTATAGTATAACTTGATATCTGGTATTGTGATCCCTTCCACTTTGTTCTTATTTTTCAAAATTGTTGTGGCCATCTGGGATCTTTTATGGTTTCATATAAAGACCATAAAAGTGTTGGAGTGTTCATTCTAGATCTGTGAAATATGCTGTTGGTACTTTAATAGGGATTGCACTGAATCTGTAGATTGCTTTGTGTAGTATGGACATTTTAATGATGTTGATTTTTCTGATCCATGAACATGGTATGTTTCCACTTTTTAGATCTTCTATTTCTTTTTTCTGAGAACAGGTCTTTTACCTCATTGGTTACAAAATTAACATCCAGAAATCAATGGCATTCTTATAAACCAACAATGAACACTCAGAAAAGGAAACAAACAAAAAACCCAATCCACCCTGGCTGGTTTGGCTCAGAGTATCAGCCCAAGGACTAATAAGACGCAGGTTTGATTCCAGTCAAGGGCACGTACCTCAGTTGTGGTTCATCCCTGGCCCTGGTCAGGGTCGTGCAGGAGGCAACCAGTGGATGTGTCCCTCTCACGTTGATGTTTCTCTCTCTCTCCCCCTCCTTCCCACACTATCTGAAGATAAATAGAAAAAAAAAAAAAAATGTCCTCAGGTGAGGATTGAAAAAAAAAAATTAAAAAATCAGGTAAAAGAAAGTTTCATAATTCTGCATTTTTCAATGGTAGCCTTATAAATGTATACACTATATACCACATTATCTGGCAAAATCAAGCTGTTTTACTAATCAGCATTAAAAGCACTGTAATTGCTCAGTATTTTAAAACACATTGCAATCAGAAAAGATTTTTCTTTCATTTACTTACTCAGTGTATTGTGGTCGGTGTGAATACCTTGTATAACAGATGTTCTAAGCAACAATTCCACATCGGAACCTATTTTTATTAACTGTTAAGAAACCAAACACAGAATAAATCGTTCAGGTGTTTTTTTCAATGGTTCATATAAATGTACTATTTTTAAATTATAGGTTTACTACAATTTCTTTTTATGTACTAATACTGCCTTTAACTTTTTGTAACCATTGCAAGTGTACAGAAAGCAAGCTCAGATTAAGCGTATACTTTTAACTTTTTTTTTTAATCCTCACCCGAGGACATTTTTCCAGTTTTTGTTCAGATAGAGTGGAAGAGAGAGAGAGAGAGAGAGAAACATCAATGTGAAAGGTACACATCAAGTGGCTGCCACCTGCACGACCAACCAGGGCCGAGGAAAAACTGCAACCAAGGTACGCGCCCTTAGCAGGAACCGAACCCGGGTCTCTCTGGACCGCAGGCCGACACTCTAACCGCTGAGCAAAACTGGCCAGGGCAAACTTTTATCCATCTGTTCCACATGTCACAGGTTTAGAGTTTTTGTTGTATACATATTTTACAATGTGTTTAAAATACACCGTTTTTTTGGGTGGTGGTGGTGGTGGTAGTGTATCTTTCTTTTATAAAGTTGGATGCTCTGAACACTAGAAAGAATGTTGGATTAAAAGTCAGAATACTTGTGATTCCAACTCTGGCTGTGTCATTAAGTATATGGCCTTGGATTAATAACCTACTCTGAGTTTCAGACCTCATCATTCACAAAATGAAGAACTGGACTAAAACAGCAATTCTCATTGCTATGGACCCCATGAGGTACCCTGAGACCCTTTCAGGGGACCAATGACATCAAATTTCTTTTCATAATACTAGAGCCTTCTGCACTGTTTGAGTTCTGAGAACTAGATCTTTCTCTATGAAATACCATTTGTACTTGAATGAACCACTGACAGGCAGACAAACTATGATTATTAACACTTGGGTATTTGGTAAACATTTTCTTGAAAATGAGTAAAGTAAGGAGGAAAGTTGATATAGTCTTAAACAAGGTCAGATGATATAGTCTTAAAGGTCATGGGATGAGGAGTCATGGTGGTTGTGAGCAGAGAAGGGACAGATTATGACTTTTCTAAAAAGGTTCATTCTGTCTTTAAAAGTATTGAGAATAGGCTGTAGGAATTTAGGGCAAAAGAAGGCAGATCCAGTAGGAGGCTGTTATAACAATTCAGTGAGAAATGATGGTGACTTGAATCATGAGATAATGATGAGGAAGATGAGAAGTGGTTGAATCTAGATATATTTTGAAGGTTAAACCAATAGGATTTGCTGCCAGATTAAATGTTAAGTGTGAAAGAAGGAATACAGTCAAGGCAGTACCTAGGATTTTGGTCTGAGCATCAAAAGGAGGGAGTAGCCATTAACTGACATGGAGAAGCCTGTGGGAGATCAAAGCCTCACACCCTGACAGACCTGAGAAGGGGCTTAGCAGGGCAGAGAAAGGGGGAAAAAAAGGGTTTCCTTACCCACTGAAGGTGCATAAACTGAGTGGAGTCTTAGGTCTAAGGCTGGGAACAATGTCAGATGAGGAACAAGGGATTAGGGGAGACCAAAAGGAATGAGCAAGAGGTGGTGTGTATAAATTCTGGAGCCAAAAAATTTTTTTGAACATATAATTTCCTTTGGTCTAATAGGAACAGAGTTCCACATTGAAACTAATTGATCATTGCCTGGCCAGTGTGGCTCAGTGGTTGAGTGTAGACCCATGCACCAAGAGGTGGCTGGTCAGGGCACATGCCCATGTTGTGGGCCAAATCCCCAGTGGGGGTCATGCAGGAGGTGACCAATCAACGTTTTCTCTCATCAATGTTTCTATCTCTCTCTCCCTCTACTTTCCTCTCTCTTTAAAATCAATAAAGAAAATATAAATAAATAAAAAATAAGTAAAAAAAGAAAACTGATCATGCCCTGGCCAGTTTTGCTCTGTGGTTAGAGCACCAGCCCACAGACCAAGGAATTTTGGGTTCGATTCTGGTCAAGGGCACGTACCTCAATTGTGGTTTGGTTCCCAGCCCTGGTTGGGGTCACATGGGAAGCGGCTGATCGATGTGTCTCTCTCACATTGATGTTTCTCTCACTCCCACTCTATCTGAAAATAAATGGAAAAATATCCTCGGGTGAGGATTTAAAAAAAAGAAAATTGATCACTCGATGATGCATATTATCAAAGAATATTCACAATTTTTTGAAAAGGGTATTTATACTCCTATACCTTTCCAACTACTTACTTGTTTTAGGCTGAATTTTCTTCATATACTTCAACCTAAAATACATATTGAATGAGGAATCACAGAGAATATAGCTGACTTCTATTAAGCTAGACATGAAAGAGATTTGCAAAAATGTAAAGCATGCCACTCTTCTCACTAAATTATTTAAGCATATAGTTATTTTTCATAAACAATGTATATGTTAACATGTAATAGATGTATTGTTTTTAAGTGACTTAATGTATTTTTTTAATTTCTCAGTTTTAAATTCTAATATAGTAAACATTGATAGGTGTAACACATAAATAGCATTATTTTTAGGATCCTCAATTTTTAAGAAGGTAAAGAAGTCTGGAGACCAAAATGAGAACTGCTGGTCTAGAGGATGCTTAAGGTTCCTTTTGATGCCAAGGCTAATGAACGCTCTCATATATGACAATATAATTATCCAAAAGCTACTAAATATTTAATAAATGAAGAGTTACAGAAGTACAAAATATAAGTGTACATAACAAATACCTACTTTCTAGATTGCTTAATGTTAAATTAGTACTCTAAAAGTAAAATAAATTTGGGAGATTGTAATTCCTTTTCTCAGTTTAGTTGATATAAACAATTTAAAATTTAAAAAATGTTAACTTATAATTTCAAAATTTAAAAATTGTCAAATTGTTATCAGTCTACTAAATAGCAAATAGTACAAACTTCCATATATCCCTTTTAACTTATATTCAAGTCATGACTTGATTACAATGTCATCTTAATTTCTACATGAATAAAAATGACACAGTCCCTGTTTGCCCTATCATATGCTCAAGGGAAATCTTTCTCCTTTTTCTCTATGTTATAGGGATAGAAATACTTAAGCTATCTCACTTTGTCTCATTAGCTTATTATAGATATTTACTATTTTAAAAATACATTTTTTTAACATAGAGAACTTCCATTAAACCCAGGAGAATTTATCTAATTTGTACTTTCCTTTTTATCAAATCAGTTTTTGGAATCACAACTACTGCTGCAAATAATTTCCCATTTTCTTCCTATGGCTCCTTTCCCTATATTTATACAAGGTTAGAAACAGGAATACTTAGGAAGCTCAAGATTGAGACAGTATATATACACAGCATGACTTTATAAAACGAATCATTATGCATTTTTTCAATGAATATATATTGGGAGTACAAGGGAGCCCATGGACTAATTTCAGTAGACTGTCTTCAACTAGAGTAAGTGACTAAAATGCAAATATAGATGGCAAACCAAGAGTAGTTCATAAACTGTGGCTGGTTAACTTCCTCTGCAAAGATAGGAATTTAAAAAAAACAATCTTTCTAGTTGAGCTAAATGAGTAGACATTCCCTCTATAGTTCTGAGTTAGCACAGCACTCCTTCTTCTCAGTTTCAGTCACTTGTCTTAAGTGAAGACAGCATTTCTGTGGGTGGTTGGGCTGATTCAGCTGCTCTTGTTTTGACCATGGCTACCATCCATGTTCTTTTCACCAGGCAACTTGCTGTCATATGAGTGTAGGCAGGTACCCAAAGGAAGTGAGCCAAACCAAACAAGTGAAGGTAATCTATTGCAGCTTTAATTATCAGGGTTATTTTACATAACCCCTTTATTTTCATCACTTCCTCTAGTTGCTAAGAAAATTCAAAAGAGTTTTATGATAAAATTGAAAAACTCAATTACTGTACCTCTTCTATTTTCTTAGGAGAAGCTTCATTTTTATTACTTTTGAATTCTTCATTTATCTTTATTCTGGCTGCTACAGAAAGAAAAATACATATAGTTATTTCCTTTCCTAACTTAGAATTCCTGTCCTAATAATTTACATGTTGTTCATTATGAATGACTACTTCTCTAGTAGAGGAAATAATTTTGCCCCATGTAAAACAAAGTATAAAGATAAAATTTATTAAAGAAGTCTCTTGGAGAGCTTTTGACAGGCTGGCAAGTTTGTAATTAAACCTAATATAAACCTTTGGCACTCTACTACTTTAGCTTCCTGTTTTTTACTTCCAATTCCATTTGTGTATCTCTAGCTGATATTCTAATAAATCTAATGTAACTATTCATTCCTATAAATTTAAGAATTTAAATTAAAATGTTAAGATGGCAAAACTCAATACATACAAGCATATTAAACCACACACTCATACACAAATTAAAATAAAGATATAGCAGCTTTAAGTACCTTGGCTGACATATAAAGTAAGTGATAAATAAAACTTTTGTTCACGTACACCATTGAGACTGGCATCACTGTCGTAGCACAATTCAGTTTAATCTGACAAACTGCCTTATTGTATTGCTGTGAGCAGTTAATGGAATGATCCATGTAAAGTGCTCAGTAAATAAACAATGTTATCTGTTCTTTTAATCATTTCACTTAAAAACATTTAAAGCAACAAAACATGTTATTTTTACGGATGTAACAGTAATAAAACCTTACTTCTATGCTTTGTAATTTCAATATGTAAGATGGTTAAGAGTTTGGGCTTTGGAGCCAGAATGCTTAGGCTAAATCCTAGCCCTACCTCTTACTAAGTATAATGTGGGTAAATCCTTTCATATTTTGTTAGTTTCTTATCTGAATAGAAATTATACAGTAAAACCTCAATATAATGGACTATTTTGGGCAAAGGAATGCCCATTAAAGTCGAAAGTCTGTTATATTATAAAGTAGGTTTTCCGAATGAGTATGTTAAAAAATTGACAAATCGTCCAGCTGGTGTGGCTCAGTGGTTGAGCATCGACCCATGCACCAAGAGGTCGCTGGTTTGATTCCTGGTCAGGGCTCATGCCCAGTTTGTGGGCCAAATCCCCAGTCAGGGGCATGCAGGAGGCGGCCAATTGGAGTTTCTATCTCTTTCTTCCTCTCTAAAATCAATAAAGAAAAAAATTAAAAAATATTTGACAAATTAACCTGTTTTTACTTATGTAGACATGTTTGTGTAATTATGTGTGAAAAGTTTAAGTTCATAGAAAATTTTTCTATATGCATCATTGTAATTTTATTTAATTTTATTTTTTTTGGTTAACCTTCACCTGAAGATATTTTTTCCACTGATTTTTCAAAATTGTGGGAGGGAGGGAGGGAGGGGGAGAGAAATACAAACATCGATGTGAGAGAGACAATTGACTGGTTGCCTCCCCGACTCTCCCTGACTGAGGTCAGGGATCGAATCCGCAACCCAGGTACGTACCCCTGACTGGGAATCGAACCCTCGACCCTTTGGTGTTCAGACTGATGCTCTAACCCAGGGGTGGGAATCTTTTTTCTGTCAAGGGTCATTTGGATACTTATAATACATGGGTCATACAAAATTATCAGCTTAAAAATTAGCCTGCTATATTTGGTCAGGCTAATTTGGTGAGGCATGTGATGTTAGCTGGAATTGATTTCATGGGCCTTATTTGGCCCGTAAGCCAGACATTCCCCATCCCTGCTCTAACCACTTAGCTATGCCAGCCAGGGGTGTATTACTATAATTTTAAATTTATATCAAATAGGTCTAGTAAATGCATACATTCACCAGTCACTGTGAGTAAACAAATGCACATGACTGGGACGTGGCTTAGAAGGGTTGAAATATCTACCGTCATGTGTTAAAATTGCAGCGGAAAGTCATACCTCGAGACAACAGAACCAATTACCACAGGCGATGTGGTATGATCATGTGCTAATCATATGCCAAACACTGTTTACCAGAAGTGACTCTTGGATTTAAATAAGTAGACTATAGCTGCAGATGTGTAATGTTTATTTATGTCAGTGAAATTACTACAATGTTTTCTCCAACATATGGCCTATTCACTAAAAATTAAAATAACAAAATTAATAACAAAAAAAAAAATCTGTTAACTGTAAGCAAACCTTGGTGTTAATTTTCACATACGACATATGGACTAAAAATTTTGTCCATTAAATTCTAACTCCGTTAAATCAAGGTCTGCAAAATCGAGGGTTTACTGTTAATAGCAACTACATCACAAGACTGTTATAAGAATTAAATGAGGGATTTGTGTAAAGTGCAATTCAATATAAGGAATACACTTTAACATTCAAGAAATTATTTTTGGTGAATTTCAAAAACTTGAATTCCTAGGGTCATTGGGGACACTTTACCTAGGTTAAAGAAGTTTAGAAATGTATGAGGATTGGAATTGCACATGACAAACACAGAACCTAAGCTTTAGAGCTCTGACTCCCAGGTAAGATAGAAATCATTTAAAACAGTGAAATACTTAATTTGGAATTGCTTGGGGTAGATTCTCTTTCATAGCTGCTGTCATTTCTAGAATGACACAAGGCATTAACATTTGGTAGTATATGTCCTATAGAATGTGAAATTTGATTATAAAATAGAGAAATGACTTTAATTTTAAGTACATACTCCTCAAAAAAGTGAAATGTAAACTAATCTTTATAACACATAACAACATTAGGGAAGAGGTAGTGAAGGTCATTCCCTAAGATGAGTCTTGACTATACAGGGTTCTCTTGGATATACTAACAGCCATCTGAAAAATGAACTTGTCCCAAAGGAAAAACAATAAACTTACCTTCTAATGCTCTGGTATCATTTTTAAAAACTTGTTGTCTGGTCCTGTGCAATGTTTTAAAGAGCTGTAAAACCTATCAAGAAAATCAGTACTCAGACCTCAAAAGAAAAAAGGTCTCATTTTACATAATTACAAGATTGAAATAATATTTCTTCTGTTCATTTCATAGACTATTTTTCAAAGTAGCTGATAAAAACCAGGGTTTGCCAAAATACCTTTACATTAATTATTTATCTTTAAGGTAAAAAAACTCCAAACTTTATTTACAAAAATAATACAAAGTTCTTTGAATAGTTAGAAAGTTAATAATTCTCCTGCCAAAACCAGTCTGCCAAGATAAACAACTTTACCAGTCTGGTATGTGTTGTTATCATTTTTCTTAAGATACTGAGGCCTTCATCTGTTCTTAAAGTGAGACACACATGTATATATACAAACTCATCAACTTATTACATCTGAAGAGAGCCCAGAAGGAAGAGGTTTTGGGTGATTTAGGCAAGTGAAATTATGATTTCTCAAAAGATAAGTAGAATGCTTAGATCTCTAAATATTCTAAGATGTGCTAAAAATTAGAGAAAAGAGCTTGGCACTTTGGTAGGAGACAGATTGGGAAGAGGCTTTAGTGATAGGCTGAGGCCACCTCACACTTCTCAAGTCCATAAAGGTATTCAATGTTATTCTAATACTGCTTTTTCTCCTGTCTTCTCAATTTCAGTTATGGAAGACATGGAGTTTCTCAAGCCAGAAGTCTTAAGGTCATCTTTAAATCTACCTTACTCTTCATGTGGAAACTTTAGGATGTCTAATCTTTTGCATATTCACCATATCCCCAAATTATTTAAGTTTACATGCTCCCAATCCATTTCTTAGACTACTTACAAAGATGTGTCTCTCTGCCATATTTCCCTCCTTTCTTCCAACCCAGTAACCAGATAATAATACTCAATATTTACTGAGTATATCCTGTGCGCTAGGCACTGTTTTAAGTTTTTTATATATTTTAGAAAACCTGTAATGTCAAAGGCAGACACCAAAACAAAAACAGGAAATGAGGAGCAGAAATGATAAATGAAATAAGACATAAACTGAACAACTACAATCAATTCCTAAATTATTGCAAATATGGAATAACAACAAAAAAAAAAGTGGTTAGAGCGCCGGCCCATGGACCAGAGTCACGATTTGATTCTGACCAAGGGCATGTACCTTGGTTGTGGTTTGTTCCTGGGCACTTTGGTAGGAGACAGGGTTGTGCAGGAGGCAACCAGTCGATGTGTCTTTTTTGTATCTATGTTTCTTTCTCTCTCTCTTTCCCTCTCGCTCCTTCTGAAAATAAATGGAAAAATATCCTTGGGTGAGGATTAAAAAAACCCACAGAAATGTTCAGGCCCTGGCCAGGTAGCTCAGTTGATTGGAGCATTGTCTTGTACACCAGCAGGTTGTGGATTCGATCCCCAGTCAGGGTGTGTGTGGAAGGCAGCTGATCAATGTTTATCTCTCACATCGATGTTTTTCTTTCTCTCTTTAAAAATTTTTTTATCCTCACCTGAGGACTTTTTTTTTGCATTTATCCTGAGATAGAGTGGGAGGGAGAAAGTGAGAGAGAGAAACATCGATGTGAGAGAGACACATCGAATGGTTACCACTCACATGAGCCCGATCGGGCCAGGGACAAACTGCAAACTCACATGTGCCCTTTAGTGGGAACCAAACCCGGGTTGTCTAGTCTGCGGGCTGACGCTCTAACCGCTGAGCCAAACCAGCCAGAGCACGCACTCTCTCTCTCTAAAAAGATCATTAAACATATCCTTGGGTGAGGATTAAAAAAAAAAAAAAAAAAAAAGTTCAGAAAACTCCTAAAAGCTTTTAAATGACAGCAAAGTGTAAATTAAGAAAAATTGCTGAGAAAGTAGAATAAAAGTTGAGGAAAGAAAAGATAAGAAAATTAAGGGAGTAATCCAGATGGCTCCAAGAAGAGAGAACAGAGAAAACAGAAATTAAACAGGAGAATAAATTAAGAAAATTTCACCAAGTAAGGTGCATGAGTTACTAGATTGAAAGGGCTCCACAAAGTGCCCAACACAAAATCCATACCACAGCATATGATGTAAATTCAGCACAATGCTAATTTTAAAAAAAAGCTGAGAGAGAAAACGGTTCACATACAAAGGGTAGATAATCAGCCCGGCCGGTGTGGCTCAGTGGCTGAGTGTCGACCCATGCACCAAGAGGTCACCAGTTTGATTCCTGGTCAGGGCACATGCCCAGGTTGTGGGCAATTGATGTTCTCTCTCTTTAATGTTTCCATCTCTCTCTCCCTCTCCTTTCCTCTCTCTCTAAAATAAAAACAAAACAAAACCAAAAACTTTAAAAAAAACCCACAAAAACAAAGGGTAGATAATCAAAATGGCACCTGATTTCTTACATCACTGTAAGAAGACAATAGTATATTATCTTCAAGTTTTGGAAAAAACAAACAAACAAACAAAAACAGCTTAGAATACCATACACAGCCAAATTATCACCTAACTTCAAGGGTAAACAGATATTTTCAGAAATGCAAAGTCTCTTATATGCTATACACCTTTTCTTAGAACTCTACATGCGTTCTACCAAATGTGCTCCACCCAAACAAGGGATGAACCACAAAAGAAAAAAGCATGGCAATTAGAAAGACAGGTGATCCAACATAAGAGAGGCAGAGATGATGATAAAGAACAAAAAGAGGTCAGCATTTGTGCAACCAGCTGAGAAAGCAACTAGTCTGGACTATTAAAAAAGGCTGAACTGTTCTCCAGAAAAGATGTTACTCATGAAAAAATAAAACTGATAGACTTTAGCTTTGCTCAGAGTTTGGGAATAGACAGGTAGGAAACTAACCAATTATAAAAACAAGGCAGTTACTAATTTCAAGAAAACCTAAGATTTAGAAATTAAAGACAATGTAATTATATATTTAGAGAACTCAGATGTGTATACGTTTTATATAGTCAAATAATACCAGAGACAAAAAACGAATTCACCAAAACTTGTAAATTGAGAAAAAGAGGGTGTAAGAGGAAGCTTAATCCTCAACCTCCATAGTTAAGTCAACAAATAATATCTCAAAAGAGAAAATAAATAACAGTTTAAGCATGTTTAGAAACATGGAGGTAAATATCAGAAGAAATAGCTAAAATGATTAAAAACTCTTATCTCTGGGAAGCAAGAATTAGGAGTATGTAGAAGAAAGTAGACACCTATTGACATTTGTGTAACACTCTTTCTTTTTAATTCATCTGTATTTGTCACAACCTTTTAAAAGCAGAATGTGCCCTGGCTGGTTTGGTTCAGTGGTTAGAGTGTTGGCCTGTGGACCAAAGAGTTGTGGGTACGATTCCAGTCAAGGGCATGTACTTTGGTTGCGGTTCAGTCCCCAGCCCTGGTAGGGGTTGTGCGGGAGGCAACCAATCAATGTGTCTCTCTCACATTGATGTTTTTCTCTCTCTCTCTCTCTCCCTCCCACTCTATATGAAAGTAAATAGAAAAATATCCTTGGGTGAGGATTAAAATAAATAAATAAATAAAAAAAAAAAAAATAAAAGCAGAATGTAACTTGAGCACTCACTACATTTCCATTCACAAAACTTGCTCTGAGTTACTTTCAAACAGCTTTACCACATGCCTAGGTCGGCTTATAATTTTGCTATTCTACACAATACTTTTCTTGATAAAAAAATAAATAAAATAAACACCACTTTTCTTGATAAAAAATAAATAAATAAAACAAACAATACTTTTCTTTGGGAAACAAGTTCTATGGATAGTTACTCCCATCAAGTTGGTTCAACTTCGCATACTAATTTCTAGAGGCCGTACATGCAGTTGATAAATACAGGGGATGGACGGTTTAAAAAGTAGATCATAGGGGATGAAAGTTGTTTTAACCATACGTATCTCAAAACATTTCAGTGACAAAAGATTTGTTCTACTAAGGAATCTGCTTGAGAGCTAAACACTTTAGATCACAAAATTAATAAACATTAGGCCACACACATCTCACAACATAACCTCATTCTGTTAAAATAAGTCAACATGAAACTAGAAAAAAAAACTAGCTCTGCTTAGAACCAACATCTTTGATTTTAGGCTTGTCATTGGTCTCCTTTTCTTCTTTTTCTTTCTCTTCAGCCTCATCATCACTGACTTCTTTATCATGTTCCTTCTCCACAAAAAGAGTAATGGGGTAGCCAATAATTGAGAGTGTTTTTTCACAATCTCCTTTATCTTTCTCTCCTCTAAGTACCTGGTTTGGTCTTTATTCAGATACAAGATGACCTCTGTTCCATGAGTTGTGTTCACCTGTGTCAGTCCTAACTGTGAACAATCCTCCTGCAGAAGACTGCTAAGCATACTGCTCATCATCATTATGTTTGTTGATTACAGTCACTTTTTCATCAATCAAATAGGCTAAGTAAAACCTGACACCAAACTGGCCAATCATAGAGGTATCTGCGCCAGCCTGCAAAACTTCCATGAATGCTTTGATCCAAGACTTGGCAATAGTACCAAGGTTATTGGTCAAATTGGCCTTGGCCATTCACTTCCAATATCCACAATAGTGAGGATTCCATCTTGTTTGTTTGGAATTAGGTTAGTAATGTGAAGCTCTTTTCCAAAGTCCAGTTTACTGGGATCTGTCAAGATTTCACATCCGATCTTGTCTAGAGCATTTGATAAATTTGAAATAAGCTCCCTCAAAAAGATCTCTTTATTCAAGTAGAAAATATTGATGATCAGTGACATCAACTGGGCAATTTCTGCCTAAAAGGCAAACATCTCAACCTCCTCCTTCTCGCCCTCCTTCTCCATTGGCTGGTTGTGAGTCTGGGTTTTGTCAGGCATCTCAGTTAAGGCACCATGCGGGCTCTGCAGTAATGCAGCACAAGGGTGCAGAATCAACTGGCCAACTACTTAATCTTTACACATTTATCACCTTTATAAAAACTAAAAATTTTATTTTAAAAGGAGAAAGGGAAAGGACAGTATCAAAAAAGAGAAAAGATATCTCACAGAATGGGAGAATATATTTGCAAATCATATATCTGATAAGGGGCTAGATATCTAGAACATATAAAGAAATTTTGCAACTCAATAAAAAAAATAAATTTAAATAGGCAAAGGATTTGAGTAGATGTTTCTCCAAAGACAGATGGCTATTAAGGACATATATATAGACATTCAACACAATTTACCATTTGGGAAATACAAATTTAAATCTGTGATACTACTTCACTCCAGTAGGAGGGCTACAGTAAAAAAGATAGACAAAAACAAATGTTAGCAAGGATGTGGAAATATTGTAACTTATACATTGTTGATAGGGATGTAAAATGGTGCAGCTGCTTTGGAAAAGTTTGGCAGTTGCTCAAAAGTTAACAAAGAGTTATCATATAACCCAGCAATTCCATCCCTAGGTGTATACCCAAGAAAAATGAAAACATGTATTCACACAAAAACTTATACATGAAGATTCATAGTAGTATTATTCATAATAGTGTCAAAAAGAAACAATCCAAATGTTCATCGACTCATAAATAAGTAAATAAAATGTGGTATATCTATATTGTTATGGTTTGAATTGTGTCTCCCCAAAATATGTTGAGGTCCTAATCCTTAGCACCTGCAAATGTAACCTTATTTGGAAATAGGGTCTTTGCAGATGTAATCAAGTTAAGATTAGGTCATCATTACTGCCTTGGAGCTATCAGAGCTAATATCACTTTGGAGTTAATAAACTTTTATTAAAAAGCAGAAAGCTAAGTCACAGATTGTCTTCTCTTCCCCATTTACTTATAGTGATTAGACAAATTGAGGCAGCGCAAATAGAAAATGTACTCTTCACAGTCAGATCAGTTTGAATCTCACATTACCACTTATTGCAAGCTTGGACAAGTTATTCAGAATTTTTGCCTCAGTTGTTCGTTTTTTTTGGATAATGAGGTAATTTTAAAGGTGTTTGGTATAATTTCTGTACTAGGTTTCACTGAAGTCATTACTTATCTATTCCTTCTAAGTCTGGGTTATATGGTTCTCCTGAGTACATCCCCAGCATTGGGCACTTACTACACTGTATGTTAATTGCTTACTTGTTGTGTGGCTTCTCAGCTACTTAGTATCCTCCACACTTAGCATAGGGTGTCTTCTATACATGATAGTCCTGGCTATGAGTGTTTTTGGAATGAATCCTTTCATTTGTATTCAAGTTTCCCAAGCAATTTCCCATTTCAAGAACTTTCCATATGCTACTTCCTCTTTATGGAATAGTCTTTTTCTCTCTCTTCTCGCTAATTTCTAATCAAACTTAAGGTTTCAACCTAACTTAAACTTCTATGAGTTTTTTTTTTTTTCATCTCTCCAAATAGGTTAAATCCCAATTATATGTACACAAAATACACTGTATTTTTAACTCAAAACACTTAATAAAATTCGAATTAAGTAATTGTTAAAAACCTCCAATCTCCTAGACCGCAGTGGCTACCTCTCCAGTGGTCGCATGGCAAAGGTGGTCTGTTTATTATTGCATCCAATATGTCTAGATAGTATAGACTAAATGTTGACTGTTAGGTATTACTAATAGCTCTTATGGACACTCAATACACTTTTTGAATGAACAACTCTTCACAATGGTTTCTATTGGAGCTGTGACGTATAGTAAACCGTACTGAGAACACCATGTTCAGCAGTACATAAGGCATTGCTTGGCGGCTCCCTATAATTGACCACAGCATTATTTTTCCTCATATTGTAGCAGGGCATTTCCTCCTTTCCATGCCTGTGCTTCAGCCAGTGATAGGGGCAGGTCTCACCCGGCCATGCTTTTATTTAAGGTTAGGGATGGCTCGTCGCTGAGAATTGTGCACCGGCCAGGAAAGTGCATCAGTTTGACGAGAAATAAACCTGAGACCAGGGACGTGACCCAGCGGGGCCATCACTTCCCAAGCTCATGCAGAGCACTGGGCTCTCTGTTCCGTGTCGCTGTTACTTTCGGTACCTGAATTTTTTTTTTTTTTTTTTTTTTATCCTCACCCGAGGATATTTTTTCTTTTTTGTACAGATAGAGTGGGAGGGAGAGAGAGGAAGGGAGAGAGAGAGAAACATCGACGTGAAGGGACACATCGAGTGGCTGCCACCCGCACGACCAACCAGGGCCGGGGACAAACTGCAACCGAAGTACGTGCCCTTAGCGGGAACCGAACCCGGGTCTCTCCGGACCGCAGGCCGACGCTCTAACCGCTGAGCCAAACTGGCCAGGGCTTTCGGTACCTGAATTTGCCGAGACTCGGTTTCTTTGGTTCCTAGACTTCTGCGTACCTTCCAGTCACATGACTACACCTTTCACCTCATCAGATGGTTGGAGCGCAGGGCTGCCTGTAGCGTCTCGGTCACTTGCCAAGGATGGGAAATGGGTCCCTCAGACAAATACTCGGTGGGGAGGTGAAACGCGGGCAGAACTCAAGTCTTGCATCACTGAACACACTCGGCACCCGGGTAGAACTAGGAACCGCTGGTGTCTCCCTCCCTCCTCCGCACCTGCACAAACCCTCCACCACCCTTCGCGGTTGGTCACCCGACTCCTCAGGGGCAACGGCCACATCCTCCGTGGAGGGCCTGAACCGCAGTTACAGGACTCCAGACCACCTTTGTCAGCCTGCGCTCTTAAACCCCCGGTCGGCATCGCACCCAGCACCTCCCCAGGCCCTGTCACCTTGGCCGCCTGACCCATGTCTGTCCTCACCGCAGCGGCTACCTCTCCAGCGGTCGAAACGCCCCGCCTCTCGGCAACCAATCACGGCCTGGCGTGCGCGGGCCAACTTCTGTAATCACGTTCCTAAAGAACCGTAACCAATCACCACGGAGCATCTCTTCGTAGCCCCGCCTCCCGCGGAGAGACGAGAAATCGGAGTCAGCTGAACCGGTGCAGCCTGGTAAAACCGCGAGAAGCCGCCGAAGCCAATTACTATAAAGGAGAACGGAAACCACTTGGACGCCATGTTAGTTAGGGGCAAAGTCACTTCCGGTTTTTCTGCTGTATCCCTCTGGTGGCGGGGAGTAGACTGATATGTAATAGATGGCTTCGGGCCCAACGTACCATACCATTCATTACCTCCTGTTTTGGGGTAGAGCTTATTAATTAGAGATCCCCCCCCTTTTTTTTAACGTTTTCCAGTTGCGACTGTCTTCTTGCAAAAGTGCATAAATAAGAGCCAAGCCATAACAACTGGAGCAGACAGACATTGATCAGATCGCTGACTTCCAAAAGTGTTATGTGTATTTTCTCTCATTTAATTTCCCCAGAAAGTGAGGCTAAGTTACTTGCCTAAGACCACAGGGCTTGCGGTGGATGTTGCTCAGTGGTCAGAGGTCAGCTCGGGCATGGAAGGGTGGCAGGTTGGATCCCCATCCCAGTCAGGGTGCCAATCCATGTGTCTCTCACTTAGATGCCTCTCTCTCTCTGTATCCCCCCCCCCCCATTCCCTTCACTCTTTCTAAAAATTAGTGGAAAAAATATCTTGGGGTGAGGGTCAACAACAACAAAAAGACCGCAGGGCTAATAGATGGAGGTCTGGGATACAAATCCCTATGCCTGACCTGAAAGCCTAGTCTTACCCTCTGTACACTCAAGCCTGCTCAACTTGCTTTACTCCTTGGTTTTGCTAGTCAAGAAATAGTTTATCAGCAGCATTACAATCCTAAACAATTATAAAGTATTTAGTTAAGTACATTTTAACTTATGACCGTGCAAGCATCAGGAAAAATCTCAACCTTGTTCCCACTGCATAATCCTTGTTTGCCTTCTGTACCCCACAACCTTTCAGGTTAGGTTAACTTGTAGGTAAAACTGACTTTTTATTAGAAATGAAGATTTTTGAACAATGAATCTCCAAGACCCCTTTCCTTCTCTGTGATTAACATCATTTGAAAGTCATCATTAAAATAGCAAGGTAATTGTCAACTTTGCTTTTTTTTTATTACATTAAAAAATTTGTCAATTACAGTTGACATTGAATATTACTTTATATTAATTTCAGGTGTACAGCATAGTGATTAGACACATAACATAATTTACCAAGTGATGTCCCCAAAAAGTCTAGTACCCACACGGCGCCATACATAATTATTACAGTATTATTGACTATATTCCTTATGCTGTACTTTACATCTCCATGACAATTTTGAGTTGATTTTGCTTTTTTATTAAAATGAATTAGATTTGCAGAAGAGTGTTTAACATAATCACACTATTTTTTTTTTTGAATCCTCACCCGAGGACATTTTTCTTTTTTTTTTTTTTTTATCCTCACCCGAGGACATTTTTCCAATTTTTGTACAGATAGAGTGGGAGGGAGAGAGAGAGAGAAACATCGACGTGAAAGGGACACATCGAGTGGCTGCCACCCGCACGACCAACCAGGGCCGGGGACAAACTGCAACCAAGGTACGTGCCCTTAGCGGGAACCGAACCCGGGTCTCTCCAGACCGCAGGCCAACGCTCTAACCGCTGAGCCAGACCGGCTAGGGCCCGAGGACATTTTTCCATTTTTGTTCAGATAGAGTGGGAGGGAGGGAGAGAGAGAGAAACATTGACGTGAAAGGGACACATCAAGTGGCTGCCACCTTCACAACCCAACCAGGGCCAGGGACAAACTGCAACTGAGGTCTGTGCCCTTAGCAGGAACCTAACCCGGGTCTCTCTGGACCGCAGGCCAATGCTCTAACTGCTGAGCCAAACTGGCCAGGGCCATAATCACACTATTAAACCAAATATACTGGGTACTTTCTTTTATCCAGGAAACAATAAATTAGATGATCATGATTGCTATTGAATGATTAAAAGATGCTTATTTTCACCCTGGCCGGTTTGGCTAAATGGTTAGAGTGTCGAATCTGTAGACCAAAGGGTCGTGGGTTTGATTTCCATCAAGGGCATGTACCTGAGTTGCAGGTTTGATCCCTGGTCGAACGATTGGGAGGCAACCAATCGATGTGTCTCTTTCATATTGATGTTTCCCTCTCTCTCTCCCTCCCTTTTACTCTATCTAAAATCAACAGGAAAAAAAACATCCTCGGTGAGGATTAACAACAACAAAAAATATGCTATTTTCATTTCTAGTTTGGATCATAGCCCAATTTCCTAAAAGTTTATAAGTTATTGTTACAATTTCTGGCTAACTGTGGTCCTTTATTCAGCTAACCAAAACCCCTCATCAGCCAATATTGGAAAATAATAGTTCCCATAGTGCCCAAATCCGTTCGGTCCTGAAGCTTCTCTTTTCTTAGATAAATCTCTATGATTTCCTCACCTTTTCCATAAATGGAATGACTATTCCAGTTGTTCTGGGAATATATCCTGGTTTGTTAGCATCTCAAAGTGTGTGACCTAGAACTGAAAAGGAAATTCTAACATGTTCATCACTCATTTAAGATCATGGAGCTATGTGATAGGCAGAATAATGGCCTATAAAATCCTAGGAGCTTTTGAATATGTTCCTTAGGTGACAAAAGGGACTTTAGAGATGTGATTAAATTAAGGATTTTGAGATGGGATGATTACCCTGAAGTGTCTGGTGGACCCAAGGTAATCACAAGGATCCTTGTAAGTGAAAGAAGGAAGCAGAGTTAGGGAAAGATTTGAAGATGCTCTGCTTCTGGCTTTGAAGATGGAGAAAGGGGCCACAAGAAAAGAACGTGGGTGGCTTCTAGAAGCTAGACAAGGCAAGGAAACCATTCTTCTCTAGAGCCTCTGAAAGGAATACAGCCCTGCCGACACCACAATTTTAGCTCAATGAAACCCAGTTTGGACTTCTGACTTCCAGAATGCCATCTGCTTGTGGCCTTTTCCAACTTCAAAGCCAATAGTACAGCACCTTCAATCTTAGACCTCTCACACCTGCTTCCATGATCATGTCTCCTTCTCTGACACTCTCCTGTGTTCCTCTTTCACTTATGAGGGCCCCTGTGACTATATTGGCCCCACCTGGAAAATCAAGGAATCTCCTCACCTCAAAATCCTTAATTACACCAGCAAATCCCCTTTACCAAGTAAAGCAACATATTCATAGGCTCCAGAGATTAGGACATGGTCATCTTTATGGCAGTAGTTTGGATTAGGGTGGTGGAGTAGAGGTAAGAAGAGATTAGATTCATGAAATGTGCTGAAAGTACAGAGAGAAGAGTTAAGGATGATTTCAAAACTTTTGGCGTGAGCAAGTCAATTATAGCAGATATGGAATGCTGCAGGAGGCCTTTTGTTTGATTGTTTATTGTGAAACAAAACAATTGAAAGTAAAAATAAATTTGAAGTTCCTAGTAGACATCACAATGAAGGTGGTGAGTGGGCAGTAATATATACCATAGACCAATCTGGAATTAAGGGAGAGGTAGGTCGGATGATAAATACCAGAGTCATTGCTCTATAGATGATAAAGCCTCAGATTTAATAAAAGGTGACCATGTTTATTACCTAAAACAGTACATATTTTTTCTTTTTAGCTTTTTGACGACTTCAGACTTACAGAAAATTTGCAATAGACAGAATTTGCATATACCTTTCACTCAGATTCCCCAAATGTTAACATTTTACAATCGCTTTATTCTTTTCTATTTATCTGTATGTGGATTTTAAAAAAATCTCTTTACTGTTTGAGAGTGAGTTGCAAACATGATACTCCTATACTCCTAAATACTTTAGTGGATTGTTTCTTATAAAAAAGTCATTCTCTTACATCAGTGGTTCTCAAAGTATGGTTTTAGACCCAGCAGCAACTGAATCACCAGGAAACATGTTAGAAACCTAAGTTATAGAGTCTCATCACAGATAACTGATTTTTATAATTTTGCTGTGGATTTATGAGGAAATTAGCATGACTTTCAAAACTATTATATAATTTACAGGCATTATTTACATTTCACCAATTGTCCTAGTATTGTCTTTGATAGCAAAAGTAACAAATGGGACACTTTTTATATCAAAGGGGACCACTATCAGTAATTTTGCAAAGACACAGTGGTAAACATAATCATTTAGAGTAGTCTGGAAGGTATAGTTAATATCTTTTAATAAGGACACTTGGAGATTGCTAGCTAGAGAAGGGGCCAAGAACAGAATCCATTGAGAGGCCTGGAACAGGAGGCTCACTGTGAAGATGAAATAGCATCCAGAGAGGTTGCAGAATGGACTACTGCTGAGAAGAGGAAATGGTCCATAGTAGCCAATGATGCCAAGAGGTCTAGTATAACTGGAATTACCTATAGGATTTTGTAAGCGGAGTTCCACAATGATTTTGATAAAAGGGAAATGGGCTCAAAAAAGATGAGAAAGTGGACACATTACATAGAAAACTCTTATAAAGGAGCAAAAATGTGGAGGAGGATGTGGGGTTAAGGTAGGTTTAGATCCTTTAAAGTGGGGTATTTGACGTTATGTTGATTACTGCTGGGAAAAATTCTTTGTAAAACAGTTGAGGGAGGTTTACATACTACTGATGCCTGGGTCTCACGCCCACAGAGTCTGATTGAATTGATCTGGGTTGCGGCCAGATTCGCAGGATTTTAAAAAAGCTCTCCAAATGATTTTAACGTGCAGTTCAGGTTGAGAATCACTGCGAGAGGGAGAAAAAAAAAAACGATGATAGGAGGGCTTATGTGCTGGAGCCATGACCTACTGCAGCTGAGACATGAAAGTGTCACGGCGTCTCACCCAGCAAACACTGCTTGGATTATCAAATCTTTTCAGTTACAATA